GGGGGGGTCATGGGGGGCACAGGGAGGGCTCCACAGCCCGAACACCCCCAGCAGCAGGAACTGCGTCTCCGCGTCCGGCAGCACGCCTGGGGGGGGAAATGTGTCCTGGGGGGGGAAATGTGTCCTGGGGGGGCACAGGGGGGCACATGGGACATGGGGGGGTCACGGAGGGCACAGGGGGGGCTACACAGCCCGAACACCCCCAGCAGCAGGAACTGCGTCTCCGCGTCCGGCAGCACACCTGGGGGGGGAGAAACACGTCCTGGGGGGGTAAAATGTGTCCGGGGGGGCACAGGGGGGCACGGGGGGGCACATGGGACATGGGGGGGTCATGGGGGGCACAGGGAGGGCAGGGGAGGCTCCAAGGCCTGAACACCCCCAGCAGCAGGAATCCCTTCCCTGCATCCAGCAGCACTCCTGGGGGGGAGAAAGGTGTGCTGGGGGGGCACAAACATGTCCTGGGGGGGAGAAAGGTGTGCTGGGGGGGCACAAACATGTCCTGGGGAACACGAGAGGAGATGGAGAACACGGAGCAACGCGGGGGGGGGAGGATGAAGGACACGGGACACAGGGACACCCGAGGCCCAAGGGGGCGGGAGCGGGGGAAACAGGGGAGCACGGGGGACACGAGGGGACACTGAGGCCACGGGGGCGAGCGGGGGGACACGGGGGGACACGAGGGGACACTGAGGCCACGGGGGCGAGCGGGGGGACACAGGGGACACGAGGGGACACCGAGGCCACGGGGGCAAGCGGGGGGACACGGGGGGCAGGCGGTGGCCTGGGGGGGACCCGAGGTGCCCCCCCTGCGGCCCCGGGACCCACCATATCGCTCCATCTGCTCCAGCAGCTGGAGGCCGCACTCCTGCTGCCGCGGGAAGGGGAAGAGCAGGCGCTGGACGGGCCCTCGGGGCACCCAGGGCCCGCGGGGCAGCAGCCGCAGGAGCCCGTTGTAGGCGCCCAGGTCCCGCTCCAGCCCCAGCGCCGGCAGCGCCGCCAGCGCCGCCTCCACCAGCGCCAGGCGGCCCCCGCCCCGCCCGGGGGGCGTCCCCTCGAGGGCTGCCAGGAACGACGCGGCCCCCGAGGGGTCCCCCCTGCCCGAGGGGTCCCCGGGGCCGCCCTCCCGGGGGTCCCCATCGTGGTGGTCGTGGTGGGTCTTGTGGGAGGAGGGACCTGGGGACGGGGTTTTGGAGGTGCCACCCACTGAGGGGTCACTCCCTGAGGGGGCACCCCCTGAGGAGCCACCACGTGAGGGGCCACCCTTTGAAGTGTCACCCCGTGAGGTGTCACCCCTTAAGGTGTCACCCCTTGAGGTGTCACCCTCTGAGGTGCCATCCCATGAAGGGCCATGGGATTGGGGGTCCTGGGGGTCCTGGGGGTCCCTGTTCTCCTCCTGTGTCCGGGGGGAGGGTTTGTGCCACACCGGGGTGGGGACAGGGGACCGGGGGTGGGGAGGTTTTGGGGTCCCCGGGGTGGGGGTGACGCCCTCGCTGGGGTCCCGCGCCGGGCGCTGGCACAGCCCCCGAGCGACCTGGGAGGGGGAAAAGGGGGGGTTATACTGAGGGGGGGGGGGGTCTGGGATGTCCCCAGGTCACCCACGTGTCCCCCCAGGTCCCCCCATGTCCCCCCCATCTACTCTGTGTCCCCCCAGCTCTCCCCAGGCCCCCTCCTGTCGCCCCGTGTCCCCCCATCTCCCTCAGTGTCCCCCGTGTCCCCCCACACCCCCTGTGTCCCCCCGGGCCCCCCATGTGCCCCCCATGTGCCCCCGTGTGCCCCCCTGTCCCCCCATCTCCCCTGTGCCCCCTGTGGCCCCCCATCAACTCTGTGTCCCCCCGTGTCCCCCCATCTCTTCCATTCCCCCCATGTCCCCCCATGTCCCCCGGTGTCCCCCAAATCCCCCCATGTCCCCCCATGTCCCCCGGTGTCCCCCAAATCCCCCCATGTCCCCCCATGTCCCTCGGTGTCCCCCAAATCCCTCCGTGTCCCCCCTGTCCCCCCGTGTCCCCCCGGTGTCCCCGCGCCCCCCCTCACCTGCGGTGCCCCGGGGCCCCCCCAGAGCCGGGGGGGCAGCGCCCGGACCCAGCTCAGCCTCATGTCGCGGTGGGGATGACGGGGGTCCCCGCGGGGTCAGGGGTCAGAGGTCACGGCCGCCCCCCGCCGTCCGCACGCCGGGTCTCCCCACTGGGCGCCGCCATCTTGCCCGTGACCTCGCGCTTCCGGGTGAGAGGGGCGTGGCCTGGCGGCGCAGCCAATGGCCGCGCGGATTTCAGCGGGCGGGTGTGACGCGAGCGGTGATTGGCCGCGAGCGGAGGGGCGGGGCCAAGAGGGGGTTCCCCCGTGACGTCAGAGAGGCCCCCGCGCTGAGCTCAGGGAGGGGGACACGCGGTGACGTCACGCGCGTCAAAGCGATGACGTCAGAGCCGCACAGGCTGCTATAAATGGGAACGGCGGCTCCGGCCGGGGGGGCGGGGGGGTTCTCGCAGTCCCGGGGGCGGTTCGCGGTCCCCCCAGTCCCCGGGGAGTGGGGGGGGGGCCTTGGGGGTCCCCCCAGTCCGGGGGGGGGTCTCGGAGTCCCGGGGGGGGAGGGCATGGATTGGGAGAGGGAGGGAGCGGGGGGGGGAGGGGGGGGCACATTCCCCGCCCGTGACGAACCTTCCCCCCCCCAATCCCCCGGGGGGGCCGCGGAGTCCGATCCGTTGACGGCACCGGGGGGGGACCCGGGGGGGCCGGGGGGGGGAACCAGAAATCGTGGGGGGACCCCCGGTGTCCTGGGGGGGGTCCCCGCCCCACATTGAGGGTCCCAGGTGTCCAGGGGAGGGGACCCAGGTGACCGGGGGGGGAGGGGGTCTCGGCACGGGGTGGGAGAACCCCAATTCCGCGGGGGGGGGGGTCCCGAGTGACGGGGCGGGGGAACCCCGGAGTGCGTCTGGAGGGGGGAGGGCGGGGGAGGGCTGATTTGGGGCGGGGAAGGGCTGATTTGAGGCGGGGGGGCCGTGCCGGGACTCCCCCGCCCCCTCCCCGGGATCCCCCCCCGGGATCCCCCCCGGCTAAATGTGGAAAAAATGACGCCATCACCCGCCCCGCCGTGACGTCAGCGCGGCGGGGGCCGCCGATTGGCCGCGGCCGGCCCGGCCCGGGGGGGCCCCGCGCCCACCGCCCACTTTTAAAAGTGGCGGCAGCGCCGGGAACGGGACCGGGATCGGGAGGGACCGACCGAGGGCACCGAACCCGGGACAGCCCCGAACCCGCCCGGGACAGACCCGAACCCGCCCGGGACAGACCCCCCCGCAGCGGCGCGACCGCCCCGAGCCCACCCGACCCTCCGCGACCCCCCCGCGACCCCCGCGATGTCCAACGCGCACTTCAACCGCGGGCCGGCCTACGGGCTCTCGGCCGAGGTCAAGAACAAGGTGGGCGGCACCGGAGGGGCCGGGGGGGGCCGGGGGGGCCGGGAAGGGGTGACCGGCCCGGGGGGGGCGGCGGGAGCGGGCGGGGGTCGCGCAGGACCCGGCGGGAGCGGCGGGAGCGGGGGCGGGACCCGGCGCTGTCCCTGGTGCTGCCCCGGGAGGGGACGGGACGGGCACGGGGAGGGGGGGGCGGCCCCGGGGTGACCCCCCCCGGGAGTCCTCGGGGGTCCCACGGGGTGCTGGTTAATGGGGGGGGGGGTCCGGAGGCCTGGGGAGGGGTCTCGCAGCCCCCCCGGTGCCACCGGTGTCACGGTGGGGAAGGGGCGACCCCGGGGTTTGGGGGGGGGCGGCACCGGGGAGCCCCCCATGAGCTCCCGGGGGGTCCCGGCGGCGGCCGCCCCGTTGAGGGTTAACGGGGGGGTTTAGGGGGTCCCGGCGACCCCCGACCCCGCGGGGTGGGAGGGGGCGACGGCGGGGACCCCCCCCGAGGCTCCGGGTCCCGGTGGGGGTGGGGAAGGGGAGGGGGCGACTCCGGGGTTTGGGGGGGCGGGGGGGGAAACCGGGGAGCCCCCCACGAGCTCCCGGGGGGGTCCGGGCGGGGTCCGCCCCGTTGGGGGTTCACGGGAGGATTTCGGGGGGTCCCGCGGGGGCGGGAGGTGACGGGAGGGACACCGGGGGTCCCTCCTCGAGCACCGGGGGGGTCCCGCCGGGCACCGGCCCCGTTGAGGGTTAACGGGGGGGTTCGGGGGGGCCCCGGCGACCCCCGGTGCCCGCGGCGGGCGGGAGGTGCCGCCCGGGGGGGGCCGGGGACGGCGACACGGGGGTCCCCCCGCCGAGCACCGGGGGGGTCCCGCCGGCGTCCGGCCCGCGAAGGGTTAACCGGGGGGGATGTTTGGTGGCCCGGGGGGGCCCCGGCGCCCCCCGGCCCCGCCGTGAGCCCTTATAAGGCGGCGGAGCGCGGCGGGCGGGCGGCGGCGGCCCCGGGCCGGGGCTATATATGGGCAAAGGTTCGGCGGGCCCGGTCGCCCGCGGCCTCCCGGGGGGGGCGGGGCGGGGCGGGGGGGGGTCCGGGCACCCCCGGCCTTCCCGGCTCCCCCCGCCCCTCCCGGGCCGCGGGAACGGGGGGAAAGGGGGGACCGGGGGGGACCCGAGGGGGACCGGGGGGGTCCCGGGGCTGCTCCGTGCTCGGGGCGGCCGCCACGGCCTCCGTGTCCCCCCCGAGGGGGTCCCCGTGTCCCCCCCCGCCCCCCTGCCGGTGTCCCCTCGTGCCCGGGGCAGTGTCCCCCCTCTCCCTCCGTGTCCCCCGACAGTGTCCCCACACCCCCCACACCCCCCGACAGTGTCCCCGGGTCCCCCCATCCCCTGACTGTGTCCCGTGTCCCCCAATGGTGTCCCCCATGTCTCCCCATCCCTGACAGTGTCCCCACACCCCCCCATCCCCCGAGGGTGTCCCCCATGTCTCCCCATCCCTGACAGTGTCCCCATGTCCCCCCTGTCCCCTGACACTGTCCCTGTCCCGTGTCCCCCCACCCTGGCAGTGTCCCCGGGTCCCCCTGATGGTGTCCTCTGTCCCCGTGTCCTCCCACCCCTGATGGTGTCCCTGTGTCCCCCCTATCCACATGTCCCCCTGACACTGTCCCCTGTCCCCCTGACCATGTCCCCTGTCCCCGTGTCCCCCCAACCATGTCCCCGTGTCCCCCCTGTCCCCCTGACCATGTCCCCTGTCACACCGGGTCCCCCTGTCCCCCTGACCATGTCCCCTGTCCCCGTGTCCCCCCAACCATGTCCCCGTGTCCCCCCTGTCCCCCTGACCATGTCCCCTGTCCCCGTGTCCCCCCAGCTGGCTCAGAAATACGACCCCCAGTGCGAGCGGGAGCTCCGGGCGTGGATCGAGGGCACCACGGGCCGACGGATCGGGGACAACTTCATGGATGGGCTTCAGGACGGCGTATCCTCTGCGAGTACGGCCCGGCACGAACGCCTGACCTCTGAACTCTGACCCCTGGGCCCTGCGGAACACGAGCGGTGAACATTGGCCTGGCGGGGACTGGCTCACGCTGTTACCCCCCCCCCCCCAGTCGAGTCTGGGATCGTCCTCTTGGAATTCGGCCCAATATTGACCCTGTCCTTTAACCCCCCACCGACCTCACCTGAGATGACCCCTGACCTCTGACCCCTGACCAGTGACCGCCCCCTTTGTCCCCAACCCTGGTCTCGACCATCCCCCTTTGACCCCTGACCCCGGCTCAAGTTTGGGATGATCCTCTCGGAATTCGGCCCAGTTTCGACCCCGTCCCTCATCCCCCACCGACCTCACCTGGGATGACCCCTGACCTCTGACCCCTGACCCCCCCAGGCTCATCAACAAGCTGCAGCCGGGCTCGGTGCCCAAGGTGAACGAGCCCGTCCAGAACTGGCACAAGGTGAGGGGGGGGACCCCAAAATCGGGGAGGGGGGATGTGGGGGGGGCTGGGAGCGGGTCCAGCTCCAGGACCCGCCCCCCAAACCCCCCCCCCGGCCCCCGTTCCCAGCTGGAGAACATCGGGAACTTCCTGCGGGCCATCACGCGCTACGGGGTGAAGCCCCACGACATCTTCGAGGCCAACGACCTCTTCGAGAACACCAACCACACCCAGGTCCAGTCCACCCTCATCGCCCTCGCCAGCCAGGTGACCCCCGGGGGGGCTCGGGGTCCGGGGGGGGGGCACGAGGTCCTGGGGGGCTCTGGGGGGTCCCCGTGTCCCAGGGACAGGTTTGGTGCTCCCCCGTCGCTCTCATTGGCCAGGTGACCCCCCAGGGGGGTGGGACCACCTGAGTGACCCCCCCAGGGGGGTGGGACCACCTGAGTGACCCCCCCCAGGGGGGTGGGACCACCTGAGTGACCCCTCCAGGGGGGTGGGACCACCTGAGTGACCCCCCCCAGGGGGGTGGGACCACCTGAGTGACCCCCCCAGGGGGGTGGACCACTGAGTGACCCCTCCAGGGGGGTGGGACCACCTGAGTGACCCCCCAGGGGGGTGGGACCACCTGAGTGACCCCCCAAGGGGGTGGGACCACCTGAGTGACCCCCCAGGGGGGTGGGACCACCTGAGTGACCCCCCAAGGGGGGTGGGACCACCTGAGTGACCCCCCCAGGGGGGTGGGACCACCTGAGTGACCCCCCCGAGGGGTGGGACGGAGTCTTGGGGTCCTGGGGGGTTCAACTGGGGGGTCCTGGGAGGCCCCAGAGGGTCTGGGAGGCTCCAGAGGGTCCCCACATCCCGGTGTGGTGCCCCCTCCCCTGCCGTGGGGGGGGAGGAGCCCTGGGCGGGGGGTTTGGGGTCTCGGGGGGTCCCCCCGTGTCCCCCCCTGACCCCCGGGGTCTCCCCCAGGCCAAGACCAAGGGGAACAACGTGAGTTTGGGGGTGAAATACGCGGAGAAGCAGCAGCGGCGCTTCCACCCCGAGAAACTGCGCGAGGGCAGGAACATCATCGGGCTCCAGGTGACACCGGGGACAGCGGGGACACCTGGGGACACGGGGGGACACCTGGGGACACTCGGGGACACCTGGGGACAGTTTGGGACCCTTGGGGACACCTGGGGACACTCGGGGACACCTGGGGACAGTTGGGGACAGCTGGGGACACGGGGGGGACACCTGGGGACAGTTGGGGACATGGGGGGGGGCAGTTGGGGACAGTTGGGGACACGGGGGGAACAGTTGGGGACACGGGGGGACAGTTGGGGACACCTGGGGACAGTTGGGGACAGTTGGGGACACCTGGGGACAGTTGGGGACACGGGGGGACACACAGGCCCAGGACACAGCGAGCACGGGGGGGAGGTTTGGGGGGTGTCAGGACACGGGGGGGAGGTTGGGGGGGTGTCAGGACATGGGGGGGAGGTTTGGGGGGTGTCAGGACACGGGGGGAGCCCGGGAGGGTCTCTGGGGACACCCCGGGGGGGGGGCAGTGCCCTGGGGACAGTCGGTGACGCCGTCCCTGCCCCCGCTGTCCCCAGATGGGCACCAACAAGTTCGCCAGCCAGCAGGGCATGACGGCCTACGGGACACGGCGGCACCTCTACGACCCCAAACTGGGCACGGACCAGCCCCTGGACCAGGCCACCATCAGCCTCCAGATGGGCACCAACAAAGGCGCCAGCCAGGTGGGGACACGGGGACACTGACATCACCATGGGGACAGGGGGACACGGGGACAGGGGGACACTGACATCACCATGGGGACAGGGGGACACGGGGACAGGGGGACACTGACATCACCATGGGGACATGGGGACACCAACATCACCAGGGGACAGGGGGACAGGGGGACACTGACATCACCACAGGGACAGGGGGACAGGGGGGACACCAACACCACCATGGGGACAGAGGGGACCCCATATCTCCCCGGGGGGTGCCTGTGTCCCCTTTGGGGTGCCCATATCCCCCCAGGGGTGCCCGTATCCCCTTTGGGGTGCCCATATCTCCTCGGGGGGTGCCCGTATCCCCCCAAGTGTGCCAGTATCCCCTTTGGGGTGCCCGTGTCCCCTTGGGGTACCTGTATCCCCTCGGGGGGTGCCTGTGTCCCCTTTGGGGTGCCCATATCCCCCCAAGTGTGCCAGTATCCCCCTTGGGGTGCCCGTGTCCCCCTTGGGGTGCCCGTGTCCCCTTCGGGGTGCCCGTGGCCGCCCCCCCAGCCCTCGGTCGCCCCCCCTGTCCCCCCCAGGCGGGGATGACGGCGCCGGGCACGAAGCGCCAGATCTTCGAGCCGTCGCTGGGGATGGAGCACTGCGACACCATGACCATCGGGCTGCAGATGGGCAGCAACAAGGGCGCCTCGCAGACGGGCATGACGGTCTACGGGCTCCCGCGCCAGGTCTACGACCCCAAGTACTGCGGCGGCCCCGAGCTCTTCGGCCACGACGGCTACGACGGCCACGACGGGCTCTACAACTCGCAGTAGCCGCCGGAGCCGCCGCCGCTTCCACCTCCCACCCCCGGCCCGCCCCGCGCACCGCCCCAGCCACGCTGCACCACCCGCACCCGGCTCGGCGCCGGGATCCGCCCCGGGAAGGGTCTCGGGGGAATCAGCCCCGGGATCGGCTCCGGGATCCGCCCCGGGAAGGGTCTCGGGGGAATCAGCCCCGGGATCGGCTCCGGGATCAGCCCCGGGACTGGCACCGGGACCAGCCCTGGGATCAGCCCCGGGATTGGCACCGGGATCTGCCCCGGGAAGGGTCTCGGGGGGAATCAGCCCCGGGATTGGCACCGGGATCCGCCCCGGGAAGGGTCTCGGGGGGAATCAGCCCCGGGACTGGCACCGGGACCAGCCCTGGGATCAGCCCTGGGATCGGCTCCGGGATCAGCCCCGGGACCAGCCCTAGGATCAGCCCCGGGGCACCGAGACCAGCCCTGGGATCGGCTCCGGGATCAGCCCCGGGATCGGTCCCCGGGCTTGGCTCCGGGATCGGCCCCAGGGAGGGTCTCGGGGGGATCAGCCCCAGGATCGGCTCCAGGATCAGCCCCGGGAAGGATCAGCCCCAGGACCGGCTCCAGGATCAGCCCTGGGGGGGAATCACCCCGGGATCAGCCCCAGGATCGGCCCCAGGGAGAGTCCTGGGGGGATCAGCCCCAGGCTCAGCAGGCCCTGGGGAGGGTCCTGGTGGGGGGTTGGACCCTGGGATCGGCTCCGGGAGGGATCGGCTCCGGGAGGGATCGGCCCCGGGAGGAGGGGGGGTGACCCCACGATCAGCCCCGGGGGGATCAAACCCAGGGGGAAACCCAGGGCTCCAACCCTGACCCCGGGGGGAAACGGGGGGGTCCAACCTCGGGATTGACCCCGGGGGGCTCCAGTCCTGGGATCGAGCCCAGGATCGGCCCCGGGAGGGGGAGGGAGGGGGACGGGAATTGGCCCCAGGATCGGCCCCGGAATCGGCCCCGGGGGGGGTTTTGGCCCCGGGGGGGTTCGGCCCCTGCCACGTGTGAAGCCACTGAGGCACAAAATAAAAGCCACACGCAAAAGGTGACACCTCGGGGGGCGTCGGGGACACACCCAGGGACGGGGGGGGGGATAAGGGACAGGGGGGACACCGGGACAGGGGGGACACCGGGACAGGGGGGGACACGAGGACGGGGGGGACACCAAGGGATGGGGGGGGACACGGGGACAGGAGGGGACACGAGGACGGGGGGACACCAAGGGATGGGGGGGGACACGGGGACAGGAGGGGACACGAGGACGGGGGGGACACCAAGGGATGGGGGGGACACGGGGACAGGAGGGGACACGGGGACAGGAGGGGACACGGGGACAGGGGACACACCGAGGGACGGGGGGGGACACGGGGACAGGGTGGGGGGACCCCCACACACGTGGGGACAGGGACAGGGGGACAGCAGAGGGGAACAGGGACAGCTGGACATTAAAGGGGACAGAGGGACATGGAAGAAGGAGGGACAGAGGGACATGAGTAGGGGGACAAGGACAAGGGGACGTTGAAGGGGAGCAAAGACAGGGGGACATTGAAAGGGGGACAGAGGGACATCAGAGGGGACAGGAGGGGGACACCGAGGCACAGAGGGACAGCAGGACGTCGCAGGGGGACAGGGGGACATTGGAAGGGGACGAGTGACACCAATCCAGGGCGTTTATTGCGGGGCAGCTCTCCCAAAACACGTCCCCCCAACCCCGTCCCCGTGTCCCCCCCCCGTCCCCCCTGCCCTGGGGACAAGGACAAGTCCCAGCGGGGTCAGGGGAGCCCCCAACCCCCCCCAAAGAGCAGGTGGCCCCGTCCTGGGGACAGGGATGTCACCCCCCCCAGGTTTGGGGACAGGGATGTCACCTCCCCCCAGGTTTGGGGACAGGGATGTCACCCCCCCCCC